TAAAACATTATATTCACCTTAATGTAGCATAAACTTTCGAAGAGATTTATCCACTGCTCTTTTGGGTTATGCAATTGTAGACGAATTGTCTTCGTGGTTAATGTGAAAATTACAAAATAGAAATCAAATAAAACTGAAGTGAGTGCTACACTTCTGCTCCTGTCTGGGCTAGCTAAGAAAACTCAACACTGGTGCCCGAAAAATCAAACTTTTGTTAGAAAATAAAGCACAATAGTTACTGCAGTTGGCAATGGGGTTTAACTGCAATTTTCCAGTCATCGAGATGCTCAATACAGTGAATGTTCCAATTCTATCACTTGAGACATATTGCTAGCTGTATTTTCTCTAAGACTCCACCAGTAGAAAAGTCGACTTCAATCTACTAAAACCTAGAGGACTATATCCCTTACCTAATATAAAAGAGATGGCAATAAGAAAAGATTGAGAACTGTACATGATGGAGGTGGCCGTAGCTCTCTGGTCGGGAGGAAACCACACAGCTGATACCGTAGTTGTTGTTCCCATGGCAATAGGTCCTGCCATACCATTCAGTGCCTGTCCAATATGTGTTATCCTGCAAGACAATAAAATACAGGATATAGCCATCTAAATATTTACTATACCAGCTGATAGATCTCAATTTCAGCTATCTATATAGTCATCTAAATATTTACTATACCAGCTGATAGATCTCAATTTCAACTATCTGTATAGTTATCTAAATATTTACTATACCAGCTGATAGATCTCAATTTCAGCTATCTATATAGTCATCTAAATATTTACTATACCAGCTGATAGATCTCAATTTCAACTATCTGTATAGTTATCTAAATATTTACTATACCAGCTGATAGATCTCAATTTCAGCTTTCTGTATAGCCATCTAAATATTTACTTTACCAGCTGATAGAACTCAATTTCAGCTATCTATATAGTCATCTAAATATTTACTATACCAGCTGATAGATCTCAATTTCAACTATCTGTATAGTTATCTAAATATTTACTATACCAGCTGATAGATCTCAATTTCAGCTATCTATATAGTCATCTAAATATTTACTATACCAGGTGATAGATCTCAATTTCAACTATCTGTATAGTTATCTAAATATTTACTATACCAGCTGATAGATCTCAATTTCAGCTTTCTGTATAGCCATCTAAATATTTACTTTACCAGCTGATAGAACTCAATTTCAGCTATCTATATAGTCATCTAAATATTTACTATACCAGCTGATAGATCTCAATTTCAACTATCTGTATAGTCATCTAAATATTTACTTTACCAGCTGATAGAACTCAATTTCAGCTATCTATATAGTCATCTCAATATTTACTATACCAGCTGATAGATCTCAATTTCAACTATCTGTATAGTTATCTAAATATTTACTATACCAGCTGATAGATCTCAATTTCAGCTATCTATATAGTCATCTAAATATTTACTATACCAGCTGATAGATCTCAATTTCAACTATCTGTATAGTTATCTAAATATTTACTATACCAGCTGATATATCTCAATTTCAGATATCTATATAGTCATCTAAATATTTACTATACCAGCTGATAGAGCTCAATTTCAACTATCTTTATAGTCATCTAAATATTTACTTTACCAGCTGATAAAGCTCTATCTCGGCTATCTGTATAGTCATCTAAATATTTACTTTACCAGCTGATAGAGCTCAATATCAGCTATCTGTATAGTTATCTAAATATTTACTTTACCAGCCGATAGAGCTCAATTTCAACTATCTGTATAGTCATCTAAATATTTACTTTACCAGCTGATAGAACTCAATTTCAGCTATCTGTATAGTTATCTAAATATTTACTTTACCAGCTGATAAAGCTCAATTTCAGCTATCTGTATAGTCATCTAAATATTTACTTTAGCAGTTGATAGAGCTCAATTACAGCTATCTGTATAGTCATCTTAATATTTACTTTACCAGCTGATAGAACTCAATTTCAGCTATCTGTATAGTCATCTAAAAATTTACTTTACCAGCTGAAAGAGCTCAATTTCAGCTATCTGTATAGTCATCTAAATATTTACTTTACCAGCTGATAGAGACCAATATCAGCTATCTGTATAGCAATGTAAATATTTACTTTACGATAATTCGACCCAAGTTATTAATAAGTAAGCTACCATACCAGAGAATATAATCTGGATTTGTAGTGATACATTTAATACCAGACCCTACTGTCACTAAAACCATTCCAGTTATAACAGTGGGGCGTAATCCTACAATGAAAAAATCAGTTAAAATCTTAGATCATAATGTTTTGGGACAGTGGTGGTGCTAGTGGGGGTACAAATTTAAAAATTTGATTCTCATGCGTTTGTGCCTCAAATTATGTGTTGGAATACACCACATCAGTTTCATTGGAGGCTGTGCCACATTCACAAGCACGACTGCTACAGTAGGAATCAGCACACCCGCAACATGTCTATCTGATCCAGAGTAAAGGTTTAGAAAGCGCAATAATACTTTGAAAAATACCTTTTCGGTCTGTGAGCCATGCTAAAGGAAGAGCCATAGGAATAAAAGTTATGGGTCCCCAGTTGTTGAAGAATGCTATGTCTGAATCCTTCCAACCGAAAGCATGTTCTGTCGTGGCAGCTATAGGTCCCCAGAATATCCATACCAAGGCTTGAATGCCTGCAAACGCCGAGAACATAAATAGCATATACCATCGCTTCTTATAAACCTGGAAAAGAATGGTGATTTCGTGCAATGCGCTTTTCTCTTTTAAATATGCTTTATCACATAAGGGCGATTAGTTACGACACTAAGTTTTAGTGGAATTGCAGGAACCACAGAGATCTGACTGAAAATTGGAATGGTGCAGTGTCACCGATACACATAATGTTTTTAGAAACTGTTTACAATCGCTATAACGAGAACCATTAAACACAAATTATAGCAGATCAACTTGGTTCCTGTTACATTTTAATTAAAAAGGAAAAAAGACAAAGACATTAAATTAGAGTTATAGAAATTTTTTCATACTTTTATTTTTTCTTCATTATAACTTTCAATCACTATGTCTAAATTCTGAATGGAACCGCCATTTTCATGATGGTTAAAACTCGGATTATCGTAGTCGCCCACTGTCTTCTGTTCGGTATTCATCCCCTAATCTAAAATAATATAAACCGAACAGGTAAAGAAACGCCGCTTTTTAGGATTACTAGAAAATAATCGTACATGATCATAATCGATATTTTGCTTTGGAAGTATGATTTTAAAACATTAAAAACATTCAACTCAGCGCCATTGAGTAGAACTTTCTAGAAAATAGGCGCTATATAAATGCATTATTATTATAATACTGGTTACGTTCGGTTTAACGATTGTGAACCCTGGAACGTGTGAGATGCCCGTGGAAGAAAGTTACAACTGCTGCACAGGAAAATGTACGTGTAACGTTTGCAAGGGTTGTGTATAAAAAAAAACACCTAAAACCTTTAGTGGGAATTCAATTGTTTTGTGAGATAGCGATTATGGCATGTCTAACCTCCGAACAACGTGAACAAATATTTTGCTTTTAACTGTAGCGTAAGAACCATTGAAATCACCAATAATGTCTGTACATTCACATAATAACTATCAGAGATCAGATATAGAGTCAGTTAGTTTCAGACTGACCTACGTCAATAATAACTATCAGAGATCAGATATAGAGTCAGTAAGTTTCAGACTGATCTCTGCCAATAATAACTATCAAAGATCAGATATAGAGTCAGTTAGTTTCAGACTGACCTACGTCAATAATAACTATCAGAGATCAGATATAGAGTCAGTAAGTTTCAGACTGATCTCTGCCAATAATAACTATCAGAGATCAGATATAGAGTCAGTAAGTTTCAGACTGATCTCTGCCAATAATAACTATCAGAGATCAGATATGGAGTCAGTAAGTTACAGACTGACCTCTGCCAATAATAACTATCAGAGATCAGATATAGTGTCAGTAAGTTACAGACTGACCTCTGTCAATAATAACTATCAGAGATCAAATATAGAGTCAGTAAGTTTCAGACTGACCTCTGTCAATAATAACTATCAGAGATCAGATATAGAGTCAGTAAGTTACAGACTGACCTCTGTCAATAATAACTATCAGAGATCAGATATAGAGTCAGTAAGTTTCAGACTGACCTCTGTCAATAATAACTATCAGAGACCAGATATAGAGTCAGTAAGTTTCAGACCGACCTCTGTCAATAATAACTATCAGAGACCAGATATAGAGTCAGTAAGTTTCAGACTGACCTACGTCAATAATAACTATCAGAGACCAGATATAGAGTCAGTAAGTTTCAGATTGACCTCTATCAATAATAACTATCATAGACTAGATATAGAGTTAGAAAATTTCAGACTGATCTCTGTCAATAATAATCATCAGAGATCAGATATAGAGTAAGAAAAATACAGACTGACCTCTGTCAATAATAACTATCAGAGATCAGATATAGAGTCAGTAAGTTTCAGACTGATCTCTGCCAATAATAACTATCAGAGATCAGATATAGAGTCAGTTAGTTTCAGACTGGCCTACGTCAATAATAACTATCAGAGACCAGATATAGAGTCAGTAAGTTACAGACTGATCTCTGTCAATAATAACTATCAGAGATCAGATATAGAGTCAGTAAGTTACAGACTGACCTCTGTCAATAATAACTATTGGAGGTCAGATATAGAGTCAGTAAGTTTCAGACTAACCTCTGTTAATAATAACTATTGGAGATCAGATATAGAGTCAGTAAGTTACAGACTGACCTCTGTTAATAATAACCATCAGAGACCAGATATGAAGTCAGTAAGTTTCAGACTGACCTCTATCAATAATAACTATCAGAGATCAGATATAGAGTCAGTAAGTTTCAGTCTGACCTCTGCCAATAATAACTATCAGAGACCAGATATAGAGTCAGTAAGTTACAGACTGACCTCTGTCAATAATAACTATCAGAGACCAGATATAAAGTCAGTAAGTTTCAGACTGACCTCTGTCAATAATAACTATCAGAGACCAGATATAAAGTCAGTAAGTTTCAGACTGACCTCTGTCAATAATAACTATCAGAGGTTACTATTTTCGCACTAGTCAAAAACATTCGAGACAAATGAATAAATACCTGATCTTTTCAATACTCCCCCAAAATAAAGCAATACAAATCATTGGCATAAAACAGTGACACTGTGACAGTATAAACCCATACGAAACTACGTACATGTATTTTATTTACATGAAAATAACACACACGAACGTAGTTCGCAGACATTTTGAATCTCTTCCTCGACTTGATGAGTCGAATATTAAAAAAGGCTACAATGTTTCAACAAAGTTTTCAAATCACATTACAAGCCAATTCTGAATATTTAACTACGATTTGAAGGATTCGTTAAAATATTATACACTTTTAAAAATTTCGACTTATTAAGTCGAGAAGGTGATTCAAAATGGCTGCGAACTACGTTCGTGTGTCTTTTTTATGTAAGAACTATACATAGTGTCGTATGATTATCATTCTCATTGATAGCCTAATTGTTATCAGTATAAAAAATGATTAAATGAATAATCAGTTGTAGGTCTTGATAATTATGAGATCCAGGGTACAACTATGTTCCGATGTATCGTCATTATACTTCCAAATAAGTGTAGGTTGTGGTCGGTGGCTTAGCGAGGATTCCATTGCCTCCCCCTCGAAATTTTTTGAAGGTTGGCACAACTATAGCGACTCAAAAAGACATTTTAATCATATAATTTTTTTCAGGGGGCCAAAATTTTCTCACTTGAGGACCAAAACACACCCCCCCCCCCCCTTCCCCCCACCCCTTCTAGCTACGGGCCTGGGCCGCGTTTAGGCGTCACTACCTTGGAAATTTGGCTCGCTTGAAGTGAACTTTACTCGACCTGGATAAGATTTGGCAGTCCAATCGCAGCTAATGTCAGGCTTATTTAGACCATGATATCATTTTAAGTCGCCGCTATATGAGCGAGAAATTGTATTGGCCAGGTCTGAATGTGCTCAGGCATGTTAACGGACCTTTCAGCGAACAGGATGACATGAAACACGTGTTACCAACATGCAATCGGAACTCTGAGTATATTTCATACCAATGATAGTCGAGAACTTCGTGTATAATTCCAGTTGGGTTTCAGCCTAAGCCTAATAATCATGGATAAGCGACAATCTAAATAAATCATTTTTTTTTTAATTACTGATTTTCATGACTACAAAGGTCAATCACTATTAACTGTCCATCCTTTTGTTTTCGAGATAATTTTGTATATAAATTTTTAGAAAGTTTCGAATGTAAAGAAACTGGGGAATTGGGTTACGGTAGAATCCATTCAGCCCGATGCGAGGGGTAGAGGCTTTGATTAGTTGTCATCACTTTGTATTTTCAGCTTTTATTCGATTACTGAATCTAAAACTAATTTTTTTTTAATACTGTTTTGCTTTGTTTTAGCCATCAGCAGTTTTGTACACAATTAATTTCCAAATTTAATTATTTTAAAAGATGATGGACCCCTTTTCTAATGGTTTGGTCATAACGGTACCCGGATGCAACACATGCTATCGACCAACCTTGTGAACATTGCATCATTTATGCTGAAGGATCCATGTAAAATAGACAAATTGGTGAATAATTTTTAGACTTTTTTTACAGTTAAAGTATCACCATGAGTGACGCTAACACCAATAATGATGAAAAGATGAATTTGAAGGAAAATTTGGACCGAGAAGACGCTGCGAACGCTGATGTTGATCTTGATGACTCGAAAGCCAAGTTCATCAATGGCGGAAAAGGGCTCGATGATACAGCAGTTAGTATCCAAGTTCCAAGCGACTCCACTTCTTTCAGTGGATTGGGAAAAGAAGATTTGATGAAATATGCCAATGATCCATTTTGGGTTCGTTTGAGATGGATTTTGTTCATCTTATTTTGGGTTGGTTGGGCCGCCATGTTGGCCGCCGCCATTACTATTATTGTTTTGGCCCCACGTTGCCCGTATAAACCTGATTTAAAATGGTACAACAAGGATCCTGGCTACAAGATCTATGTTCAATCTTTTAAAGATTCTGATGGCGATGGCGTCGGTGATTTGAATGGTATGTATCTTGTATCAAGTATATTGAATTGGGTCACTGTAAATATTTGAAAGGGACCCCCCATGTAAGGTGTTTTGTCCCTCAAATGACCTTGAAAATGGTGTTAAATATGCTATGTAAATAGTTATATTGTTCTCAGAAAGTAAGATTTTTGAGATTTACGTTCTACATTGGGTAGACCCTTTAAGTTTGTAGCAATGCCAGCTCTGGCCTTTTTTTGGCAAGATAACGTCCAGCATTGGCTGATATCACAGACCAAGGACCTACCTTCCGTTACAGACTTTACCCTTTACAATATTTATTATTTTCTGTGTTTTCAGGATTAAAGTCTAAGATTGACTATTTAGTGGGTTTGGGTGTAAAATCTATCTGGTTGAATTCTATTTTTAAATCTGATAATGTGGATGGAAGCAATGGCGTTGTGGACTATAAGGACATTGATCCACAACTAGGTACAATTGAAGACTTACAAAGCTTGACAAAGGCCATGTTCAACAAGGGTAAGTACTGGTTTGCCCCAGCCTCACAATGCCAAGTTACTGTGAATTTCAGTCTATAGCTGCAATAATAGCCTTCTTGTATCACAAATTTCGTTGGATTGTATATTAACAAATACAGCCAATTAGTGTCATCAACAGAAAGTTTGTGAACACAGAGCCAAAATGTTTACAATCTTTCTGTCGAGGGCTCTGTGATACAAGAAAGGTTGCTATTGCAGTCAAGGTATAAGTACGAAGTTCGTAATAACTTGACATTGTAAAGATGTGATACGAGGAAGGTGGCTATTGCAGTCAAGGTATAAGTATGAAGTTCGTAATAAATAGACATTGTGATAAAAATATCGCTGTTTGAAATTTGAATTTCAGCTAGAAAACAGTTCTACAAGTCTTAGATTGATTTGGATTATATTAATTCCAATATCAAATACTGAACCAGCTATGAAGATAGGAATCTGTTATCAAGCGCGTGATATTCATGTTAAAATAATAACCCACAAATACATTGATAGTTTATATAACTCAATTTGATCCTTTGTTGAGAATTTGACTCTGGTATAAATTTGACCTTTTATCAAAATTTGAACTTTGTAAGTCCGGGTAAGTGTAGGTTAATGAATGACAAGTTTTGTGCTAAATCATTAACAAAGCTACTTAAAAAGTTTATTTCATTGAAATCTTATTAAGTTCTCTGTTACACTACATTATACAGTATAAACCTTAATTTTTGAATTCATTACTTATTGTAATCAGATATCTAAACTGTTGTACTGCATTTTCTTTAGTAATGGGGGAGGGGGGGGGATTCATTTAAGTAAAAGCCTTGTTTAAAATTTAAATGAAATAGTCTATTGTATTTATAACTTGTATGAACTTTGTTGAATTATTTTATGAAATTGACTATTATCCTATTTGGTTTATGAATACTGTAGGGTTATATATTGAATATCTAGCTAGACTTAATGATAGTGAGTGTGATCTTGTTTTAAATATGTGAAATGATCTGTTAAGTTTGTAATTGATATAAATATTCATTATCTATGAAACACAATAAGGTGAATTAATTAACTCTGTTACCTAGGTTACCACTGTAACAGCTGCTCAAGATAACTATTATTAATCTGATATCTACCTTAATTTTATGAGGACTGTTCATGATTTGAACAATACTTATTCATGATGATTTGCTTAAATCATCTTTACAATGTTAAGCTATAACAAACTCTGTCTTGTACTTTGACTACATTAGCCACATATCTTGTATCATGGAATGCTGTGCTTTGATTGGGTTTCATATCAGTGAATGCAGCCAATCAGAGCCTCGGCAGAAAACTATTAACATATTAGCCATATTGATGACAGTTTTTCTGTCAAGGACTCTGATTGGCTGTATTAAGCTGCATGCAATCCAATCAAATAACTTGAATTCATTACCAAATGAAATCAAGGTATAAGAGTTTGGTAATAGCTTGACATCGGTCAAACCAACAGCCTGAGAGCTATCTTAAGACATGACTGGTATATATTTAAAAAAACACAAGGGTTATATTATGGTATAACACACTTTTTTAATAACAAAGCACAAAGTGAGTTATACCATAATATACTCCTTGTGTTTTTTGTTATATCTACTCTCCACTTCTAAATGTCATTCAAATCTTATGACTGGTATACGATGTTCTTTTACATGGTATTATTTTATTTCCAGATCTGCATCTGATCCTTGATTTCATTCCCAATCATACCAGTCGGAATCATACCTGGTTCCAGAAGAGTCAGAGAGGGGAAATTGGGTTTGAAGATTATTACGTTTGGGCTGATAAAGACAATGGTTGGGTAAGGATAGTATTTTGATGTTAATTTTGAAATGTAGGAGGCCATTTTATATTATTTCAACTGTGACTTCTAGGAGGACCGAGGTCAGTTTGTGCTTTTTATTGCAACTGAGTAAATTCACTAGATTTCACTAAATTTCTTAGGAAGGAAAATAGAATTTCATTTCACATTATATAGTCCAATAGGTTTTGAACATTAGGTTGTACAGCACAAAGGAGTAAAATTATTAAAAAAAAAAGGCAGAACAGTAGAAGGCAATATCTTAAAGTTACATTACCCTAATAAAGTATAAAACAGTTTTATTTCTATCATTAGCTCTATAGGTCAGGATGTAAGACTATATGTAATTTCAGAGTTACAGAACAGTTGAACATGTTGCCCTTATTTTATTCATTGGCTCAATAATTAACAAAGTAAAACTCCATCTACTAATGGGCTGATTAATATACGTGTATTTTGTAGAAAAATGATGGTGGTGGAAGTTTATGGCAGCTGGATACAGTACGTAATAAATACTACCTACATCAGACGGCCACCGAGTTCCCAGATCTCAACCTGAAAAATGAAGCTGTACAGAAGGAAATGACGGAAATCTTGAAATTCTGGGTCTCGAAAGGAGTTTATGGCTTCCATGTAGTAGGAACTCAATATCTGACAGAAAACGCAAACTTCAGTACCCAAAATGGCAAAGACGAATACATCAACTATAAGGATAATTTGGAGGTCATCAGCCAATGGAGAGGTGTCTTAGATTCTCTGTCTAACAAACCAGGCCGTGAAAAGTAAGTAGAATTTCTATGAGGGAACTTAAATATGATTTTACCTTGCAATAGGCCTGCAAGTATCCGTTTGTGGCTTTAACTTCTAGGAATATTAAAAAGTCAGGAAGCTAATATTAACAGATTCTAAAAAAATAACGAAATTAAAAAAACTGAATGCCCCTTTAAATGAATGAACTACTAAGGATTTCAACCGCAAAATGAATTGACCAAACATAGGTAGCAGCTAATAAATTTCTCACATGAGGTATATCTTTCATTAGTGAATGAGTATTTATTTCATAATGAAAAGTGGTATCAGGTGTTAAGAGCATACCCTGCCTGGCCCTTTTAACTGAAAGAAACTCGTACACCCAAAGTTATCATTTAATTTTTATCCTTCAGGGTTCTTATGACCTCTTTACCAGCCACGTTAGACAAGAACACAACTATGAATTATTTTGGAGATGGTGAACAGAAGGGATTCCACATGGTTGCCAGCCGAGTTTTTGCTGAGTTAGATCAAACCTGTGATGCTTTGTGTCTTGATAGAAAGATAGAACAGGAGGGTGGGGATATTTCACAATGGAGAGGATGGGTGGTAAGTTCTTATATTCTTTACTTTTGATTTACAAGCTGGTTTCTGGATGATGAACTCAAGGAGATAAGGTGCCGTGGGTTTGAATCCTTCTCAAAGTAAAAAATTATGATGCCTGGGCTACCGAGAGTAGGTCCAGTGTCAGCTTTCACCCCCTTATACAAAACCAAAATGCGACAGTGCCAAACTTAATGATCTGGTTATGCCATCTGGATAACTTTTGGTATTCTTTTTGCTTTGTGTCGTCTTTTCAGTTCTTACTAAGTATATTTGAATTCCCTGCTTTTGAATTTTGAGAAATATTCGAGATTTGTCGGAAATATTCGAAGGTGGCAAGAGAACTATTTATTTTATTTCAAGATTAATGTTATAATTCTGTTCATTATGACTTATTGTATTTGTAGTTTGGAGATGAAGAGACAGCTAGACCTGCGACAAGATTCCCTGGTAAACTGGGTAGATTGATGAGAACAGTACAGATGTTCTTACAAGGTACCAGCTTTATCTATTATGGTGATGAACTACCAATGGAGGATGGAGAGAACAGTGCCAGTCCACCAATAGATGTCTATAGATCAACCACTGGAGGAACTGTAAGTCTTTTGTTTTTAATACCACTTCTTCACAATATGGAATGCAGTGATTTGATTGGATTGTAGGCCAGTAAACACAGCCAATCAGAACCCTTGACAGGAAAACTAAACATTATGGCTTCATGACACCCCTGGAAAAGTTTATATCAACCTGAGTGCTTTTTTGCTTCAAATGAAAGTGATTGTAAAGAGGTTTTCTGATACATAGAGAAACTGATAGTATTGATTCGAACCATTCCAATTTTCAATCAAACTAGGTATTATTATGCGTGTGAAAGCCAAAAAGCTGAACCATTAATGAGTAGTATTATTGTGAACATTATATTATATTTTCATAGATTCGAGATATATTCCGGACACCAATGCAGTGGGATACAACTGAGAATGCTGGTTTTACTGAGGGAACACCATATATACCACTGTCTGCTGATTATCAAACCAACAATGTTAAAGTAAGTATTATCTTCCTAGTTAGTGAAATCTGGATAATCAAATATAATCTATACTTGTATTTATTAACAAGACTCAATTTTGAGGCAGAGAAGAAATGAATGAAAGTAAAATACATTGAAATTCCTAGTTAGATACTTTTTGAAGGAATTATGTAATTTTTGTACAGTTCTGGTACTTTTGAAGATTATTTGCATATATTCATGACCTTCAACCTTTGACATGGTGAACTTTGACCTTTAAGTAATATTACTTGGAGTTATGATGTATGAAATATTATTAACGTTTGGTTTCTAAGGGTTACATTGTATTTTCTATTTCAGACTGAAGAAGCCCATGAGTTTGTATCAACGTTCAGTTTTCTAGACTTAGTTCGTGATTTGATTGCTTTAAGAACCAATGAATCTATTCAGTTTGGAGGACTACAGTCTCAAGTAGAAGATAATGTTTTGTTTGTATACACAAAAGCTGAAGGATTCCCCGCCTATCTGCTGGTAGCCAACTTTGATTCCATGAAACACAGTGTACCTCTGTATGCTGGGGAAGGAGCCATGGCGCCTAAACTAGTATCTAGTGCCTTTAGCACCGAGGAAAAAGCCAGCGGCAAAATCATAAACGTTGATGGTAAACTTGTTACTATCAATGCGCAAACTGCCCGAGTTTTTAAATTCATTGAATAATCTTAACATAAAGTTCTGAAGGACTTTTTAACAAGAAAATTTTAAAATTTAAAGCTTTAGATTTATTAAATTGATGAATGTTGTAAGATGAAATCAAAAGTTTTTTTTTTTACTGCCATTTTAAATTGAATATAAAAATGAATATTGCTGGGCATCTCATTGACAATCTAAAATAAACAGAAATCCAACAAAATACTAAAATCAAGGGTTTAATGTATATTCAGATTGCTTATATAGTTGAATTCTTCAGAAATTCAGTCTAAATGAACTGATCTGTGGATTTTAAATTATCTGAAGTCAGAAACTGCATTTTAGAAATGTGTTTGTTCTTTACACAGACTGCAAAAAAATGCCATTGTACCAGTTTATTTATCTATATGTTGGGCACTATAATACTACATATGATACGTCTTGTAGAATTTGTTTAAGAGTTTTTTGCCAATGATTTTGAGACAGAAAATTGCCATTTTACCTAATTTTTTTATTATTCAATACTGTGGAATATTTTGTTTAGTTGAAAAGCCCTTTAGAATTTGAAAGAAACGTAACATAAAAAATTTACAGCTTTTTAAAAAATTTGCCTAACATTCTGAATACATTTGAAATAATAATTATTTGTCTTTGATTCAGTTTAAATATTAACTGTTTTTGTGAAATTGTTATGTCTGTTTTGTTACTGATTATATGGAATTAATCCGGAATTTGTTTTGAAAGAATACTAATAAATTCAAAATTTTGCTGTTGATCTGTGTTTGTTCATAATAGGCTCGAGGCAGGGGACTAAATTGCCAGAAATCTGTCCATGTTATTAAGTCTCACTGTCTACTACAAAATCTTTGAAATGTAACCTGTACTGTAACTTCGCGTTTCAAAGATTTTTTTCAAAGACAAACGGCCTCCGTAAAAGTAACGGTACCTGCCAGATTCAGCCTTACGGAAACTGCCGAGGATTGCCGAATGGGCCCAAAACACAATCCAAGGCAAAAGTAGACTCCAACGAACCAAATACGTACTTTCATTGTTTCAAACGATGGGAGTCATTTGCCTCCATTACTATGGTGTGTACTCGAAAAAACTGTATTTAAGTTATAAAATATCCAACTGCAACGCGTGCGTCTTATACACCATCCTCATCAGGACAGCCAGTATAAAACGCCGTTAAGCTTGACCCAGTCCATCTACCAACTCAGTCCATCTACCAACCAACCAACAGACCCAGTCCATCTACCAACCAACCAACAGACCCAGTCCATCTACCAACCAACCAATTAACCGACCCAGTCCATCTTAACAACCAACTAACAGACCCAGTCCATCTACCAACCAACCAACAGACCCAGTCCATCAACCAACCAACAGACCCAGTCCATCTACCAACCAACCAACAGACCCAGTCCATCTACCAACCAACCAACCAACAGACCCAGTCCATCTACCAACCATCCAACAGACCCAGTCCATCTACCAACCAACCAACAGACCCAGTCCATCTACCAACCAACCAACAGACCCAGTCCATCTACCAACCAACCAACAGACCCAGTCCATCTACCAACCAACCAACAGACCCAGTCCATCTACCAACCAACCAACAGACCCAGTCCATCTACCAACCAACCAACAGACCCAGTCCATCTACCAACCAACCAACCATTCGACCCAAGTCCATCTACCAACCATCCATCCGACC